ATCTTAAAGCACATGCTAATTATTTGTTGTTTTCTCATCGGAGTCGAGTTTTCTCCTACCCAGGAAGGTTGATGCAGAAGCATTCAAGTCCTCATGAATGTCACGCGTTGGTCACGTGATTATTTAATTTAAATAATGACATGTGTTAGCCATGTGAGTCACTCAAGTAAAGGTTGTACGGTCTTTTCATGTTGTTAGGGCAACACTAGGGTCTGCTGTATTATAAATACTACTCTTAACAGTCAGGAGCAGCAGCTATTTTTGATATTTTTTATTAAAAATTTGATTCTAAGTTATCCTTTGGTCTGCCATAGGGCTTAGATCACAATATCTCGTTCTCGCCTTGATTCTTGTACATTTTTAGAGTTCTCTCTACATTTACTATCAATAATTTTTGTTGTTTGCCTCATTTCTGGTTGTTTGCTACAAGATCTAGGTCACATCACTCGCTTTTATAGATCATGGAATGGCATGAAAACTGCAATGACTCGCTACTTTGTGCCAGTCAATAATAAATAATGAACTCATCTTCAGTTTATAAAGTTTGGCTCAAGGAAGCATGTCTATTGAGGAGTCTACCGCAAAAGTTCCATAGTTTGGCCACCCGATAAGCGTTCCCATGGAATGAGGATGCTATGATTATCATGAATAGGCAAGGACTCAACTCACAGATTTCTTCGCGATTAGCTACAAGTCAACTTTACACTATGGTAGATGCAATTCAGGTTATCTATCAAAAGAAAGATGAGTGAAAAAAGGAGCTTCTGTGAGATCTTCTATGGCACCTACAACCTGGATCGAAAGAACTTCTATAGATACAAGTCAAGGTAAGTCCATTAATAAACTGCGAGAGAGCACTTTAATCCAAAATAATCATCTAGGAATAGTGTTTTTTCTTCTGTTCAAGGGAGTACCAATCCTAAGGCGAGATGTTTTAATTCTCATGGTTTTGATTATTTGTCGTTTCAATTCCCTACAAAATTTGTTTGTTGTGGTTGAAAAGGAAAGTCCCAAGCTGAATAATAAGTCTAATGAGATAGAATTTGAAACACAAAGTGGGGAACCTCTTGATTTGGATGATGGCCATTTCATGAGTGTTATCCGTCCTTTATTTATAGCTAATAAAGTAGTTGATAATGGTGAGCTTATTCATATATAAAAAAAAACAAGAGTTAATTGTGAAGGATAGGTATACTCATTAGTGACCTTGGAAGTTGCACAAATGTGATATCGAAAGAATGGTTTGAGATTGCAGTATCAGTCATCGACTCAGAAGTTACTAATACATCGCGGCATCTCAATATCTATTGATACACATAAAATGTTGGATAAAAAGGCCCAAAAAATTCTGGACAAATCATAAAAATTTCTAAAAATATAAACAATAATGTCCATAAATTATATGTATAACATAAATCATGTAGAACATTAAACATAGTGGAAATGAAATATAAGGGGGTAATTGGAAATATTAACATTTACAAACATATCTAATTATGTATTCTTTTATGCAACCTAAAGCAATCAAAAAACTTGACCCACAATAAATAGGGAAAACTCTAGAGACAATTCGTTTTAAGATGAAAAAAGAAAAAAAAGAAAAAAGGTTCTTTTAACTCTAAACATGAAGCACCAATCGTCAACGGTATCCCTTTTTGTCTAGGTCAAGAAAGTTTTAAATCTTCCACTTTATTGTAGGTGCTTCATTACACTACAAAGACAGAAACAAAAGGACCATAGAGAAAGAGAGAGAGAACATGAGAGACAACTGGTTGCAATCGGAGGCTTGTTGCCTAGTGCGCTTCACAACTGCTTCGCGAAGAAGAGAGAAGAAAAAGGGGGACTCTCGGTTTCGACTATACAGGTTCTTGCAAATTTTTACATCCTTCTTCGCATTTCTTCAATTTAAGGTTCAATATTTGCAGATTTTCATTGGACTTCTCCATTTCACTTTTTTCTTTGGCCTTTTGCATGTTGTCGGAGGGGATATTTAAAAAAAAAAATTCACCATATTGAATTGATTCTGGTATGAATCATCCGAGTCAAACGATTTAACTTCGAGTTATGCCCGCTACATCCAAGTCGTAATAGAGTTAACATCAATTCATGTGCTACTTGTGATATTTGTGTAAAGGGTATTCGATCGAAGGTGGCCGAGTCGGATACTTTGAACCGAGAGGCTTTGAAGGAATTAAATTTGAAAGTTGAACCACATCCGGGACCATGGTTTACTAATATCAAGCTGAAAGTTGATATGAGATGTCCAATTGCGTTCACTATTAGAACACTTAAGGAGATGGTCATATGTAATGTGTTGCCTCTCAAGTTTTGTCATATACTTTTATAGCACACCAGGATATGGGATCGTGATGCACGAAAGAACATGCTTAATTGTGCTACAAATACTCGTACAGTACAACCGAAAAAGACTTCACCATTGATTTAGAGAACTTCTCCGTCAAATGGTATTCCTTTTAATAGACTTTAGATAGGTAGTTTTATTAGGATTATTTTTTATTTATTATTATTTGCTAGATTATTTAATTAAGGAATATTTGTTTGAATAGGAATGTCTTTGTAGTTTTGAGTAGTGAGAGTTTGATTAAAAAANCCCACAATAAATAGGGAAAACTCTAGAGACAATTCGTTTTAAGATGAAAAAAGAAAAAAAAGAAAAAAGGTTCTTTTAACTCTAAACATGAAGCACCAATCGTCAACGGTATCCCTTTTTGTCTAGGTCAAGAAAGTTTTAAATCTTCCACTTTATTGTAGGTGCTTCATTACACTACAAAGACAGAAACAAAAGGACCATAGAGAAAGAGAGAGAGAACATGAGAGACAACTGGTTGCAATCGGAGGCTTGTTGCCTAGTGCGCTTCACAACTGCTTCGCGAAGAAGAGAGAAGAAAAAGGGGGACTCTCGGTTTCGATTATACAGGTTCTTGCAAATTTTTACATCCTTCTTCGCATTTCTTCAATTTAAGGTTCAATATTTGCAGATTTTCATTGGACTTCTCCATTTCACTTTTTTCTTTGGCCTTTTGCATGTTGTCGGAGGGGATATTTAAAAAAAAAAATTCACCATATTGAATTGATTCTGGTATGAATCATCCGAGTCAAACGATTTAACTTCGAGTTATGCCCGCTACATCCAAGTCGTAATAGAGTTAACATCAATTCATGTGCTACTTGTGATATTTGTGTAAAGGGTATTCGATCGAAGGTGGCCGAGTCGGATACTTTGAACCGAGAGGCTTTGAAGGAATTAAATTTGAAAGTTGAACCACATCCGGGACCATGGTTTACTAATATCAAGCTGAAAGTTGATATGAGATGTCCAATTGCGTTCACTATTAGAACACTTAAGGAGATGGTCATATGTAATGTGTTGCCTCTCAAGTTTTGTCATATACTTTTATAGCACACCAGGATATGGGATCGTGATGCACGAAAGAACATGCTTAATTGTGCTACAAATACTCGTACAGTACAACCGAAAAAGACTTCACCATTGATTTAGAGAACTTCTCCGTCAAATGGTATTCCTTTTAATAGACTTTAGATAGGTAGTTTTATTAGGATTATTTTTTATTTATTATTATTTGCTAGATTATTTAATTAAGGAATATTTGTTTGAATAGGAATGTCTTTGTAGTTTTGAGTAGTGAGAGTTTGATTAAAAACCTATTTTAGAATTTAGTAGATGAGTAAGATAAGAGACTAATTCAAGAAACACACAAATTTTGCATAAAAAATAAACTTTAATAGTATCACTCTCTAATTCTTACAATATCCATTCTTCTCCTCCAGGCAACTTGATGCTATTAAAAAACAATCAATTGTCACAAGATCCCATTAACGCCAAGTTAAAACTATGGCACATGGGATGTGTGAGCCTTTGTGGCTACAAATTATGATGTTTGGTGTTGATTCATGTGACCTAAAGAGAGGTTGGCTGGTATTTCGTTAGGATAAGCTAAGCTTTGGTCTTATTTACACTCATGCTATGACTTGTGGACAGCGTTGGCTCAATCGCATAGCTATTGAAGTCTTAGGCTCTTGAATCATTAGGGCCCCATTTATGGAGGTTTAATTAAGTCTAATGTTCAAATAAAATATTTAGATACATAATCAAATTAAGTTCAATTTAATTTTAGTAACCCAAAAAAAAAAAAATTTAGAGATTTTTAGATTTGATTTGAGTTTGTTGAGAATTTGTTTATGTTATTAATAACGACATAAAACACAATTTGAGTATATGATATTTAGCTATATTAACATTAAATCTAACAAAATTTGATCTTACCATTATATCAAGTATCACACTTTGTTCGAATTAACTATATTATCTATTGAAAAAAAAGGTTAACAAAACCTGAATACAAAAATTTAATAATACTTTTACATCTCCAAAGACAATGATATAAATAATATTGTTTATTGATTTAAATCTTAAAATTAAAAATTAATACGGCCTTATTTAAATTTTTGTTTTAGGCCCTATTTTGTGTCGCTGTTGCGCTGGCCCTACTAATGGGTGAGACAAAGACACCAAAATTTTGTCTGCCTTAATGTAGTGTGATAGATAATAATTCATAAAATTGCAATACAACAACTTTTTTAAAAAAAATCAAGAGTTAATTACAAATTAGCCCCTTCAACTTTAGGTGTTGTTGCAATTAACTCCCTTTGGTTTTGGTTTTGATTTCGACAAATTACCCCCTCAAAGTTTCAAATTGACTAATAAAGTTAACTGTAATGTAAAAATATGGTTATACCCTGAACCTTTGCAATGTAAAAGTACAATTATACGCTAAACCTTTAACATCATTTCCCCCAAATTATTGTTGAAATGTCCAACCCACCCTTAACAAATTATAAATTATAAATGAAAAATACAACAAACACAAAAAATTCATTCACTCCAACCTAAAGACCACCCAAAATCAATCATCACCACCATTTGGTATAACTTCAACAAACCAAAACACATACAAAATTTAGGTGTTGTGTGCTAGTGAGGGTGGTTGTAGATAAAGTGTGTTGGGTTGGGTTGGTTTTTTTGTTCTGTATAATTGTGGAGGTGGCAACAAAGGTGGAGATGTCGTTTTGTTGCATTGCACAGTTGCTGGTGGAGGTGGAGGTGGAGGTGGAGGTGGAGGTGGTTGTGTCATTTCGCCGCCACCACTCCACCATAACCCAGACACCGCTATCACCATAGTCAACACCAACAATCATAAGTTCTCTCCCTTCAGATTCTTCTCCCTCTACTTCAAGGTTGACCTGATTGGAGTTTAAGGCAAAAGATAAATTGATATGTATAGACAAAGGGTGTGTTTGGTTGTGATTAATGTTGATGGGACGAGGGTTTTTGACCCCGGTAGTCAAGGAGGGTTTTGCAAGGCTTTACAAAGGAGTTTTCATAGTTTTGGAGAGAGAGAGAGAGAGGAAAAGCCAAAAAAGCTCTGTGAGTAAAGGGATTCATCTTTAGAGAGAGAGAAAAACATAGATCTGTGAATGAGGAGTTTCTTAGTGGAGTTTTCACCGTGAGAAAGAGAGAAAAATAAAGATTTGGGGGTTTTCACCATTAGAGAGATATTTGTGAGTTTGGGGCTCACTTTCGCCGAAGGAAAAGAGGAATTAGAGTTGAGCATAGAAGAAGCAGAGGGGAGGATGGAGAAAAATTTGAGAATGGATTATTTTGCCACTTTACCAACTCACTGATTACTTTATTTCACGTGGCCAACATCCGTCCCTTTTAACAGCTAAAAATTAATAGAAAGAGTTAATTGTAAAATATTCAAAATAAAAAGGGGTCAATTTGTCGAAATCGAAACCAAAAACACCACCTAGAGTTTTATAATTAACCCAAAAATCAATACAAAAAAACACGTTCAATTTTTTCTTTTTCTTTTTCTTTTTCTTTTTCTTTTGTGTGTGGGGGTGTGGAGGGGATTGGACAAAAAAATATTTGATGTAACCGTTACACCGTGTCAGCATTATAACGGTCCACTAATAGATAAACAAATCAACAAATGGACTCCACTAAAATTCATAACCACCCAACTATGTCATTCATAACCATCTTCATGACAAGAAGTGGACCATATTTTACTTTCTCTTTTTTTCTTATTGGATTATTACACCATGTCAGCATTGCTTCGATTACACTCAATATTTACTTGGATTGGACATGAGAGCTCAAAGAGGTTATTCGTATTTGTCACGAGCTATGTTGAAATAACCAAACCAAGCCTTATGTCCCAATCTTTTGNTATTACACCATGTCAGCATTGCTTCGATTACACTCAATATTTACTTGGATTGGACATGAGAGCTCAAAGAGGTTATTCCTATTTGTCACGAGCTATGTTGAAATAACCAAACCAAGCCTTATGTCCCAATCTTTTGGAGTCGGCTATATAAATCCGTCTTTACCATTCATTTTGATCATTCATTATACGCTCATTTAAGTTAAATATTTGCACATATTTTCTTATTATTTCGTTCAATATTAATTTAGATCCACCTCTGCTTCTAGTACCATTAAGAGACATTTTATCACTTTTTTGAACCAGTGCCTCTATCGGCCTCCGTTGAACATGATCAAACCACCTTAATCTATTCTCTCTTAACTTATCCTCAATTAGAACAACTCCTACTATTTTTTAATACAGTCATTTCGTATTCTATCCATTCTAGTTTTTCCAAATATCCACTTTAACATTCTCATTTCCACTATATTCATTTTATCACTATATTGTTTCCTAATTGCTCAATATTTCGTCTCATGCAACATTATTATCCTTATAACTATTCGGTAAAACTTACCATTCAATTTTATTGGTATCTTTCTATCACATAATATGTCAGAGGCTTTCCTCCATTTAAGTCAATCGGCGTTGATTTTATGAGTTACATCATCTCCAATCTCTCCATCATTTTTAATAATCGATCCTAGATATCTAAATCATTTACTCATTGGCATTTCTTAATTTCCAATCTTAACTTTTTCACTATATCTACTTTTTTTTATTACTAAAATTGCATTACATATATTTAGTCTTACTCCTACTTATTTTAAACTCTTTCAACTCGAGTATCTCTCTTCAAATGTTTAGCTTATTATTAATCCCCATTCAAATTTCATCTACTAATATAATTTCATCTACAAATACCATAGACCGCAAGATATCATCTTGAATGTGCATAGTGAGTTCATCTATAATTAGGGCAAACAACTATGGACTTGATGTTGATCCTTGATAATTGATATAATCCCACCGTGATGGAAATTTATTTATTTTCTCTCGTGGAGACCTAATTGTAATCATAACTCCATCATTAAAGTTCTTTATCACCTCAATATATCTATTCATCACTCATTTTTTCTCAAGTACCCTCCATATCATATTTCTATGCACTTTATCATACACCTTTTCTAGATCTCTAATTACCATATGCCAATTTTTCTTCTTTCTCTGTATTTTTTGTATGAGTGTCATCAATAAATATATAGCCTCCATAGCTATGTTGAAAGATATATGCATTGAAGAAAACACAGACGCTTGAAGTAAGAAATTTCAGACTCTTTCAAAGACCTAATCAATTTTATAATTTTGTTCATTTATATATTTCAACAACCATATTATGGATTATATCATAATATACTTTGATTCCATTTGACATAGCAGATACCGACTACTTCAAAAGTAATTTAAATAGAAGATACCAGGAAAAGATATGTATATAAAATTTTGCAGCGTGAAAGAGCCTAACCCGGTTTCTGAAAGCAAAAGAGAGATAACCAGAACAAACATGAGCAAAACTTTTATGATCGTCCTCGACACCAAAAAGATCATCTGCGTCAACAAAACCCCCAGCACTCTGATTCCGAATTTCGGTGACTTTTTTATCTTTTTTGATTCCTTTCTCATGGTCGACAGGATCGGGGACGGTCGTATGCTTGAAAAGCTCCTCCAGAGCCAGTTCTGATGGGCTTCGCTTCATGTCATTTCCAGTAAAGACCGACGTGCTGGTGACTGGTTTCTTGTCCATCAGTGCCACCGTCGGTGATCTGATCAGACTACTTTGTTTAGAGTCGAAGAGAGAGAGTAGCAGCTGACTAATTGCACAAACTAAACCAAACATTTAGACCAAAAGGTTCAAAACTAAACCAAATATTTGGATCAAAACTATGGCACCAAATTTTTTTTTTATTTTATTTTTTTTGGGTCTGAACTATGGCACCAATTGAGCATTAGAATTTTACCATTATTTAACTCGACTTTTGACAAATTAAGCACCAAAGGACCTTGGGGTCTGAAATATGGCACCAATTGTGTATTAGAATTTTACCACATTATTTAACTCTGGCTTTGACAAATTAAGCACCCAAGGACCTTGGGGTCTGACAATTTTTTTTTAACGGTTGAGGTGTTTGGAGTAATTTAAACACATTTTAATTAATTTTTTTTTTGATTTGGTCAAATACAGGTTACAAGGACTAAGATATTCATAAAGAATAAATCTCTCATAACCTGATTTCAATTGATTACCGAAATTCGAACTCATGACGTCTGACTTTACAGCTCGTTCATATTACCACTTGAATTATCGTTTATATTTACAACTAATTACTTTAGCGGTAAGAGATTGAAATTTAGTGAAATATCCTTGGTAATATAAAGGCGAGACTAACTTACTCCATATCATTTACCTCAAATTTTTTTTCTTTCAATTTTAATTCTTTATAAAATACACTTTTAACTGCTAAAATGTGCATAAATTATCAATTTAACCTCTATATAATATCATCATTCAAAAAAATATTTGGGCAATCTTATTGTTAATCATCAAATTAGCTTGAATTTTCAAAACTTCCCTCGACTTTCATCCAATTCAATATTTAGAACTAACGAAAAAATATTTCAACAAAAGAGAAATTATATTTTGTACCCTCTAATATTTTCTCTAGCTCCTATTTGACCATTGCAAGATTCAAAAATTTATAATCCATAAATATTTAAACCAAATCGTCAATAACAAGTCGTCAATCGAACTTCAATGAAGTTGAAATTAATTGGATTCTTTCTATGGTGACGATGTAGCTTGCATGTTTGAAAGATGATGAAGCATGAATGGAGTATCATCCTCGATATCTACATTGTTATGATAGTGCATGGTTTGATTACTCTCACCTTACTCTTACCCCAACTCTCGAAAGCATCTTTAAATGGAAGCAATGAGCTACCACTCTTGGGATATCACTAGTGGAGCCTTACAAATTCTAAATTCATCTAGCTTGTAGATCCCCTTCGAACCACCCAGTTTGATAACTTAAACAATACAGTGAGCCCTCAACAAGCAGCTTTGCCTACACACGAATTAGCTTTTGAGGTCAAGTAGTCTCAATTTCACTTATCGATTTGAGTATCACCTTGTAGCTTTGTCTACCTTCCTTAAGTGGTAAACTAGGATAATAACAAAATTGTCTTCCCCCATTTGTTTAGTAAACCCCTTTTTTGAGCCTCTAATGAATTTCATTTCCCCCAATCCTTAGTAGCATTGACAAAGTCAATCAAATCTATCTTTGAAATGTTAATATAATAGCTTTGAGAAGCTTTTTGACCACTTTCTTCTTTCATGCCCAATTGTGTTTAAATGCACAAATATTTGGTCATTAAAAATATGTTTGGTTCATAAATTTAACTTATGGGAGTACTTGTCTTCAACCACCACCACCCAAACATCGTCAACACCTTCCCACCTCCATCACTCCGACCACCACCCCCGACAACCACCACTGTCACCACCACCATCTAGTTTAGATGTTACCATTGTCACCATCGTCGTTCCACAACTATTGTCACTATAGTTGTCACAACCACCACCACTGTAAGCTTCACCACCGCTATCATTGTCGCCACCCCAACCTTCACAACAACCACTATCATCACGACCACCACCCTCCATCGAATGGACCACCCCCACATTAACACAAATGATGACAATGGCTGTTAGGGAAACGTGATGTGCGGTGGATCGCCCCCTCACAATTATACACGTAGTTAATTTAGAGATATGTCAATTAATTGATTAATACTCAATGTCACCACAATAATCCCAGCTAAGGCAATTACTCTCAAAACCCTTTTCAATGAATTGAATGATGAATAATCCTGTAACGCCCCAAAAACCCCCTTGGGTGACATTACATTCTAAAAACCATTCACCCCATGAGAGCATTACGTAAATTCATCACGACGAAAGTTCATTCATCAACCATTCATATTTTAACAAAATTTGGGCAGAGTCTCCTTTGTACGGGGAGCTTTACCCAAAACACAACCTGTACAATTATATTACAATTGACCACACCGGGTCCACATATGCATAACTATTGACCACACCGGGTCTATTTATCCATCATAAAATAAACTTTCATTCATCATATGTCATATCCACAATGCCATCCCAAAAGAATAGGCCAAGTATGACAAATATATTCCCAAAAGAATTAAATTACACTTGCAGTGAAATAACAAAATACTAGACTTTACATGATTTCAAAATAAACTCTCTAGTCTAGTACAAAAGAAATATAACTCTAGGCATCCAGTTCAGGACCCCCGTTCCCCTCTAGGGGAGCTTCCCCATGCACTGGTTCATCTACTTGTAACTCCTCCTCATAGACGAAATCTGAAAAGATATTATTTGTAGGGGATGAGCACTAAGCTCTGTAGCAACATTCCTTCCATACTCATACAAGGTTTAGAAAACAAGTAAAACAGTTCGGTCTTATTTTCCAAAATATCATATAACATTTGAAGTAAAACCGTGACATTTGAAACAGATCTCAAGTTTAAACATTCGCAATAATTTAAATGAACAGTAAACCCAAGTCACAATGAGCAACCATAACCATTTCCAACAAGTTCTTGTAGAGTCCCATACCTCCACAAGCTCTTGTGGGAAATGCAATAGTAACACCATAATACAAAAAGGAACGCTTATTCCACCATCGATTATTATATTTCCTTTGGCACGAATCTCAAGTTTAAGTAACAATAGTAATAGAAAGGAGCAATTTCAACTAAGTGCTAATAAACATCCATTACCAAAATATAAATCATTTCCCACACATGATATCATATTGTCCTCTCTAACGGGAGCATCCTTACAAGGAACCTCTCACCCTCAAGATTTGGTTTCTCAAGCATCCTTACAAGGAACCTCTTGAGAAAATCACATACTGTCCTCTTTTGGTGTGAGCATCCTTACAAGGAACCTCTCACCCTCAAGATTTGGTTTCTCAAGCATCCTTACAAGGAACCTCTTGAGATGGAATGAGCATCCTTACAAGGAACCTCTCATCCATGTTCATTCCAACAACCATACAAGATCACATCATCCCAACAATCGTCACACATAACCAAGGATTCCATAAATCTCCAATTTACAAGCAAATTTCCAAAGATCCACAAATCCATTATGAGGCAATTTCAATAAACAATTAGGAAAATACAAGAGATCACCACAACATCATTTATTACTCAACACAAACCACTAAAGTTTTCAAAGCCAAGATTGAGTGACTATAGAGAGAAAAATCCATATTTCTCAAAAGTTAGGGTTGAGAGCAAAAACAAGAGAAAGTAGTTACCCAACCATAACATTGTTTAGAACATGATAATATTTGCATAGACATCAAGAATCAAAGGTTTCCTAACATACATCTAAGATTTAGAAAAAAAAAAAAAACCTATATGTATACATAGCCCTAGTCTCAATGTAAGAGAAAGAGAAAAAAACCCCTACCTTGAATCAAAGTTTCAAACCAAAAACCCAAGCTCTAATGACCTCCTTTCTCCCTTTCCTCCTTTCCTCTATCTTCCCCAAGGGTGCTAAGGGGTTTGGGGGTGAGAGATGTGAGAAAAAATGGAAGAAATTGGCTGGATTCTGTGTTTTAAACACAGCAGTCCGCGACAAATCACTGTTCATGGCTGAATTTTGAGTTTTTTTCCAAAATTACAGTTTTGCCACTAGAAATCTCCAATTTGATCCATACGACTACCCTAAGGTTTTTCGACGTTCCGGATTCATTTTTAATGTTATTTTAACCTAAAAACATTGTTTTTTATGATTTATTTCAAAACTAAAATAAATTCACACTTGGAACATTAAAATTTCTATTTTATTCCTTCGAACTACTATAGGTGATATCCTTACGATTTTAATATATATATGGTTTATTCTTAAGTCATTACATATAGAAGAATCACTAAACAAGTACATTAATATATTAATGTAAACATATGGGGTTTTACACCTTCAAGGTCTAATAAGAAAGCACAACCCTTTACTATCCAAGGAGCACCATAGTGCAGATTTTTGGTCAACTTCATAGAATAAACTGATTTGACTCAGGTATTTCTAGGAGGTGTAACCTATATGGTTGGAAAGATATACGAGTTAGGGTTCTAACAAAAATAACGGTGCACAATTCGGACTTTCCAATAAAGAGTTATGATGAAATTAGCGAAAGGTAGTCTGCCGGACAGATTTTTGGACAGTGTAGACACTACTTCGTAATATGGACATAACTCCTTCCTCCTAGTTCCGATTGAGATGATTCAAGGTGATATGGAATCCTAAGAGAGAGCTCTACAAATTTCATGTTTTAAGTTTTGAAAGATATGGACTGCATCAAGGTCGAAATCGAGCTTGATGTTACAGCCAGTGCACTGTTCATCTCTTTTTTATTCTACCAAATTCAAACACACATCACTACACATATCCCCATTTTTACAACAATTATTTACTATATATCTATATACATATATAAAAGAAAATGCGGGGTGTTACAAATCCAAATATCAAATACATAGTGCGTGTGTGTACAAAATTGTAAGTATATAAATAAATTAAAGCAAGTAAAGATCACAAGCAATTTGTTTACGGGAAACCCTTCTCGAGAAAAATTGCGGGAACCACTCTAGATTACCAAACCTAATCCATTAAACCCAAAATCAGTTTACAAGCACTCGAGACTTATACCTCAACCAATATTATAGTTAGATGCTCATTTTCTTCAATAAACTTTTTCTTCGGATTCCCCCGCCAGAGTTGTGGACAA